TAAGGTAAAGTTGCTAATCCCTAGTTTGCTACACTTTTTTTCCTGCAAGGTGGCCATAAGTCATTTTTAGTAATAAGTTTTGTGTATTAGTAATTATAATCAAGTAAGGGTACATTCATACTATATCTTGATAACAGTTTGTTCTCAGTTGAGTCTGCCCTAATGGCCTTATATTCACATTTAAAACATGTTGATAAGCAAGTTGTCATGTTTTATCTCACTACTCATTGAGTCATGAGCACGAAGAAAACAAACAATGTATCATCATAGAGCTCGTAAATTATATGTTCACTTGCATACTAATTATCATGACCAACTTTCACCAGAATGTATGAATGAAAAGAAATTAAAATTATGAAAATAAACTACTTACATCGTACGGAACATTCTTTTCTGCGATCGAGAGTCTATCGCGATCTGAAATTAAAGAAATAAAGGATTTTTAACAAACTCAATAATTTAGTATTAACGTCGTATTCTAGAAAAAAAAGTGTGGTTTTAACATGGCGAATTGGAAGTTGCAGTAATATAAACCTACCATCATCATCAGAACCAGACGGGCCCGTTGCCATATCCGCCTTTTTCGTCATGGATAGTTCCATCACTTCTATATGATCACAATCTCCCGAAGCCATTTTTGTTTTCTGTTACACCCCCTATTTTGAAGTCACTACAATTAATGTTGGCACAATTATAATTAACATGGCTCACATCACAATTGCATTGATGTCACAATGATTCACTTTAATTTAATTAGAAGAAATCAATTAGTTTACGCAAAATTACTCGCCCAATGCAACCGACTGACACGACCGTTCATTTTTTACTGGGTTGCCATTTAAACCACAGATTACATTTAAGGATATCAATTATATATTGACTGTTGTTTTAAAATGTAAAGCATAATCTAACAAAAATATTTATTGTAGCCGAATAAGTCTCAGTACTTTATTTCGTATCGAGACACTTCTATGACTTGTGTACGGGTGAATGAGAATATTGATTTACACAAAGAGGGAAAATATTCTTGGTGGCTGTAAAAAGCCAGTTAAAGTTAAAACATCATCATATTTAGTAAATCTTATAGTCAATGGAGAGCAATTATTATTAGTCCCAATACTCATACCAAATAAATAATAAGAATATATAAGTTCCCAAAGGGTCCTGAAATAGCATTATTTATAAATCATTTTAGATGGTATTCTTTCAGCCTTTTCAGCGAATGAGTATCTAGTAAGAAAAAGACGTATACATAACATTATATGCCTTCAAATTCAGTCTACGGATGAAATTCTAAACGCTATAAATTCGTTTAAACCAGGATCAGCTGCAGGCTTGGATGGGCTGTCACCCCAACATCTTAAAGATTTAACTTCATTCAGTGTTGGTGATACAGGTGCTCGGCTTTTAGAAGCTCTTAAAAAACTCGTAAATAAAATGCTTTGCGGGGAGATAACCAAGCTATTGCTCCTATTTTATATGGGGCAAACTTGGTGGCTCTTACCAAAAAAGATGGTGGGATGAGGCCAATTGCTGTAGGTAGCACTTTTCGCAGATTAACCTCGAAAATTGCAGTAAAACATATAATTAGTAAATTGAACAAAATTTTTGAACCAACACAACTTGGCTTTGGCACTAAAGGTGGATGTGAAGCTGCTATACACGCTTTGCGCACGCTTTTTTTCTAACGAAAAATTTGATGTGTTGTTGATAGTTGACGTCAAGAATGCATTTAATTCAATCAGCAGGGACACCTTGCTAACTAAGTCTTTTGAAAACATTCCAGAAATATATAACTATCTTTTACAGTGTTACTCAGAGCCATCAAAATTAACATACAAGAGTTACGAACTCTCTTCAGAAGTTGGTTGTCAACAAGGTGATCCTCTTGGGCCGGCTATTTTTAGTCTCGCAATAAATTCTTGCATACAAAATTTAAAATCAAATTTTAACGTCTGGTATCTTGACGATGGTACTTTAGGAGGTAACGCAGATGTAGTACTTTCAGATCTATCTAAAATAATATCAGATTTTAGTTCAATGGGTCTAACTTTAAATTTTGATAAATGTGAAATATATCTCCATGGTGAGAATATGGACACCGACCATACAATAAAAAAAAATTAATACCTTAGCCCCAAATATAAAAATAATAAATAAAAAATCGCTGTACCTCTTAGGAGCACCGATTTTCAAAGAAGGTTTTGAAGAATACATTAACTCGACAATATCAAAATTTAAAGATCTTTCTCACCGTCTTCTGGATATTACAGCACACTCAGCTTTGTTCATTTTAAAATTCTGCCTTTTTATTCCCAAATTAACTTACGTACTTCGCTGTAGCCCTCTATGGAATCATTCAGTTTTTTTAAGTGATTTGGATAATCTTTTAAAAACTTCTTTGGAATCTATTTTAAATGTTCGTTTTGATACACCTTCTTGGAATCAAGCATCGCTTCCTGTTCGCTTTGGCGGATTAGGAGTACGCAAGATAACAAGTGTAGCTCTTCCAGCGTTTCTCTCATCTGCTCACAAATCTAGCAGTCTGGTAGGTAAAATCCTTAGATATTATTCTACAAACTACGAGATTGCGGATTTAACAGATGCAAGAAACGCGTGGATAGCATCCAACCCAGGCTTGAGTTTGCCTTCTAGCGTCAACTTTCAAAGGAGCTGGGATGATCCTCTTTGCAAATGTGAATTCAAAAAAGTTATTAGGTCACATTCCAATAACAGACCGTGCAAGGTTGATGGCTGTGGGGTCTAGGGAAGCTGGACATTGGCTTAATGCTTATCCTTCGCCAAACACTGGCACCCTTTTAGACCCTGAATCACTTCGAATTGCCATCAGCCTCCGCTTAGGAGTGCCCATATGTACTCCCCATAAGTGTCCCTGTGGTTTTGAAGTAAGTAGCCTTGGACACCATGGCCTACACTGCCAAAAGAGTGCAGGTCGTTTTTCTCGCCATGCCGCGCTAAACGACATTATACGCCGCTCTCTTGCCTCTGTTAATGTTCCAGCAATTTTGGAGCCAACAGGCATCGCAAGAGACGATGGCAAGCGGCCGGATGGAATGTCTTTGATCCCTTGGAAAATGGGACGGGCTTTAGTATGGGATGCTACCTGTGTAGACACCTTTGCCCCGTCTCATCTCCTTCGGACAAGCAAAAAAGCTGGCGCGGCCGCAGAACAGGCAGAAATTAACAAACGGCACAAATATAAGAGTCTTTCCTCCAACTTCAATTTTGTTCCCTTTGGAGTAGAGACTCTTGGGCCGTGGGGTTCAAGTGCACAGGCGCTTATTAAAGATTTAAGTTGGCGCCTGGTAGATAGTACCGGTGACCACAGAGCTGGCACTTTCCTGGCTCAAAGAATAAGTCTCGCAATACAGCGAGGAAATGCTGCCAGCGTTAAAGGTACACTGCCACAGGGACCAAACTTTTAAATTTGTTTTGATTTTCTTCTTTCTTCTTTAATTATTTTTATTATTACTTTATAGGTTAAGAACATTGTAAATACTGTATTTGTGTAAATGTAATAAATAGTATTATTTATATTATATATATATATGTATATACCTACTGCTGTATGGCCACAAAGCTGTATTATTTATAGAAATTATTTATTCAAGATTTTATTTATTCCTGGAAGAAAACTTACATAAACCGTTAATAACTATATACGGAAATGAACTTTGATGGCATTTCTTTCATTAAATTTAACTAAAAACATTTATCTGTCGACCACTCTTAAGGTGCGCTTGTACTGAATCGTAGATACGCACTTAAATGTACATATTATTTTGTGTAGTATTTTCTATAATATTTTGATGTATGTGGCAACATAAATACCGGTCGTTAAGAAAAGAAGAAAACGAACGTCACTCAGGACAGACTTTAGACGAGTGAGATATATGTTTATTTTCCATGAGCGTTTCTATAAGAATATAAATTAATTACTCTTGTTTGTGAAGAATAAACCAATTAACAAAGATAAATATGGGTTGTGATTTATTACAAGATAGAACATCCCATACGCTTACACGGGCAACTAAAATTGCTCAATTCCAGTCAATACTCGTAAACTATGACGTCACGACTACATCAAGCAATTTACGGCAAAGGCAACAAGCATCAATACTGCGCAATACAATATTGAGCGATATGGCGCAACTTCATCAACTAGGCAATACTGTCCTACACGAGCATTTCAGTATTCGCTCGCTATGGACGACATTGTTCTTGCTGCGGCGGCTTGTAGCGCTTTTTTTATTATAAATAAAAAACAAAAAAGAAAGAAAAGGAATAGGCGTATCTGGGTGCGATAGTTTTTGGCAAAGGGGCCGCAATTTTCATTATGTAAAGAATTAGATGATATATTATTCAAAAACTTTACTAGAATGTCACGAACAGACTTTGAATTACTTTTGAATAAAGTAATTAGAAATTATTTTTATTTAGACCTCTCGCTCTCCCCGCGGAAGCAAGACGGCAAGCCGCAAAACAAACAAGTGCGAATGAGATATATACAAAAATTGCTAGGAATTTCCAAGTCCATTGGATATTCGTCAATTCGTATCTGCGACATTGAGCGATATGAAATATCTGGAGCAATTAGAAGCAATATCGCCGAAATAATTTATATAAATTGCTCCATTAATTGCTCCAGATCGGTCCATTCGTGTCGCCGAGCAATTATTGCCCTCGTGTAAGCGCACCTTTATGATAAACGATGGCGGATGGTCACATTGATGATTGACGCCATGTTTATCATTCATTTTGCATTTCTTTCCGTCACTTTGTTGCCGCGGTGGGAATTGTAGGTTATTTTCTTATATGTAGCGTCTTTTGGATTTTTGAATATATTTAATGTATTTATCTTCTTATTCTATCTAGCGTTTAAAGGTACGTTGATTAAAAAGTGTTTTCTTGTGGTTACAGATTGAGTGTAACGCTGTGGCCGTTTAAATTTTGTGAATATATATCAATTTCGATTAGCAATGAAGGTGGGAAAAAAAGTTAGGGAATATAAAGCGGGAGACTTTATATTCGCTAAAGTGAAAGGATATCCAGCGTGGCCTGCAAGAGTAAGTGCCTTTTATACATTTTACGCTATTGCCTAAATAGCCGTCAATTTAGTGAAATAGTAATTTCGGCGGGAAGTTGACGCTTGCCAAGCCTTATAATTGATAGTAATCGTTTGATGGCTATGGCGTGTTTTTACCTTTGTCTTGCTACGTAGCTAGTTATTTCACACACTATTCGTTTAAAGTTATATATTATAACATATGGATTGTTTTTGTAACTATTCTAATAAGTTTTTAATACTATTTTCTTGTATTATGTAAGAAGTTACTTACTTTTTATAAAACTTTTAGCATTTGAAGGTACTTATTAAACATACACCTACATACCTAATGTAGGTACCGAAACAGATATAAACTTGTGAATTCAATTAAAGACATTTATGAACTCATTGATTAGTTTTAACCATACAAATTTAATCTGTAGAATTTAGGAATGTTTGTAAAATAATCATCATCATATTTAAATAAGTGACGGAGGGATTGACAAGCGCTGAATATAGAATGAATCACTTACCATATTTAGGTACAGATAACAATTACCTTAATTCTCAATGTGTATATCAAAGTAATCAACAAGATTGTTTCATGGGTTGGCAGCAGACTTCATAATTATTGGTCGGATCATTTCAAGCCGGCGGCCAGTATATCATATTTACATTTTAAAAGGGTTGCATAGCTTTGCATTCAAATATATACAATAACTTCTTATAATGAGTACTGCCTTAATACTTACTACTTTCGGCTTTGTTTGAAATTCTATCAAACAAAAGTGTAATTAAATTTAAGGATAAGTGCCAGAGGGCCTAAACTATTACTAGCATATACATAAAATAAAGGCATGAAAAAATAAAATATAGATAGAGTTACTAATAAAGAGAAGGTATGTTTGATTGTATGTTTCTTATGTATGACACTAAAGTGACCTAGAATGAGTAACATAGACTATACAATGTTTTGAATCGATTAGAAATTTTATGAATATTGGTGTTTGAAAACGAAATCTTGCACTTTACCTTATTTGTTTCTTTTTCCTTACTAAGGTTGCCTGGATTGCTTATTAGGTATAGGGTGGCCTGTTGCCTACTCAATAATTTATGTAACCTGATTGTACATGTACTTTAAATGTCAGATCTGTAGAACTCACTACAGATTTCACATTTGATCTTTGCCGATGACACTAAATTTTTTGGAAATTCACTCCCAAACTCAAGCAATACAGAGTAGCTAATTCTTACTCGCCACTATAATGTACCAGGAAAAGTGAAAACACGCATTTGAGAGGTAGTAGACCGCTCAATCTAATACAAATGACTAAAGAACTTTCTCCCAAAACAAGTATTGGTTGATTGGAATAGGCTTCCGGAAAGTGTAATTAGTGCATCCTCTTGAACTCTCTTAAAAACAGGTTGGATAATTTCTTCAAATCTGCAAATACCTTTACATCAGTCATTATTTAACACCTGCATTCTACCTGTTTATGTATGGTAGGCTAACATGGGCTTTAACACAAAACATGACTAACAAACCCGCAGCCTGCCAACATGCAATGAAAAGGAGTATGTTTAATGTTAAAAAATCAGGCAGATTGAAAAACCCGGTCATAAAAGACAAGATAAGTCATAGACATTACCTCCAAAATAAAAGACTTTAATGGCGATGGGCTGGGCAAATGTTATGAGCAGTTGTAGAATAAAACTTATAGTTGCAATTATAAAAGCCAACCCAGTCTCCAATTATCACAGACATCACAACATACACTCAGTTAAAGGAAAAATTTGGCCAAAAGAAAGGAATATAATGTGTTCCGATGAAATGGGTAAATTTTATAAATAAATATTGGACAAATATTTATAAAGAGATGTTATCCCAATGCAACTTTCAAAAATATTGGGAAAAATCATATTTTCAAAAAACAATAATAATTAATAATATAATAATTTTTATAGGGAACAGGGGAAATGTAAATAAACATGATATTTTAGTATTATATGAAAAACTTTGTTATTTAGACTCTAAGAAGATCATTATGTTTATATTTCCCTATAGCCAAAGCTTTCCTAAGGAAGAAAATGACACAAGATATATTCTTAACCAAACATTGCATACATTGGCAATGTATAATGATAAATTTTGTCATGTGTACCAATAGGTATATTAAAAAAATTTTATTACAAAGGGTAGATATTATTACCTACCTGCTTTCTTAAAAAGACATTTTGAGACAAAGCTGTTTCACTATCATATTTTATAGAGATGACAGCCTTGAATTTGGCTAGACCCCTTGCTTCTATTGAGCAAGCATCAGATTATAAAACTTTGGGAGAAATTCCAAATAATATTTATTTAAATTAGATAATAAGACAACGGAGCACCACTCTTGCAATAATAAAGTAAGTATAAGTGATAAAAGTCATTTCCCAAAAAAATATTGTATTACATCAAAATATACAGGGGATGAAAAATAAAGAGTTAGAAATCAAACTATTCTTGAATAGTCAAAAAATTGACTTTTTGTGCATAACAGACCACTGGCTAAAAAAATTGAAGATTTGTTTAATTTTTGTAACCACAGTACGGTTGGTAGTGTGTTTTGCAGAGAAAATGCAATTCACGGTGGCTCATTAATCTTAATTAATAAAAAAATTAACATGCAAAGAAAGAGAGGATATTATCAGCCTCTCTATAGAACTAACTATTGAAATTTCCTGTGTGGAACTGGAGAAATTCATTGTTGTATGTCTATATTGACCTCCATCAGCTGTCTATAATAATGTTGAAAATGTATTAGAGGAGATGTGTAAATTAGTAAAGTATAATAAAAGGCTAATTGTGTGTGGGGACTTCAATGTCAATTTACTTTGTCATTCTAATTCAAGTATTCTATTTTAGTCTTTTTATTCATACAATTTAATAAATCAATTTCATTCACTCACAAGAGTAAAAGCCAGCACTGCAACTTGTCTAGATAATATATATAGTGACGTAGCCCATTTGAATGTTTGTATTTTTAATAGATGTAAATCTGATCACACTGGTCAATGGTTTGAATTTCAATTTCAGGATCAAAGAACATTTTGGTAACTCCCATTACAAATGACGTTTGGGCAGATTTAGGGAAACATTGGTGTATAGGATGTTGTTTCTGTGTGACGACTAATCCTCTAATAATTTCTACAACACTTTTATTGATGAATTCAAGAAAGTATTTACTCAAAAGACTTTATTGGTAACTGAGAAAACAAGTTTCTGTGACTGGGCAAATGAGGAGTTACACAGAAAAATAAAATTATATGAATTGTATGATGAAAAGCAATATAACACTAGTGTGGGATTTAGGTAATATATTAGGTTGTATTCAAATAATTTCAAAAAAGATTGCATAATTGCAAAGTCACAATATTTCAGCTCAAAAGTAAAAACAGCATGGATAAAATAAAAGCTACCTGAAAAATAATAAATGAAGAATCAGGTAAAAACGTCTGACAGAAAAACCAATTATATGTTAAAAGTTAAAGGGAAATTAATAAAATCTGACCCAGAGGTTGCTTCTACTTTTGAAGAGTTTTTTACAAATGTTCCACTAAATACAACCAAGTCCCTGGATTCTTCACCTGCTGCTGCGAACTCATTACTAGAAAAATGTGTACCTAACTGTAATATTAAATTTGAGTTTAAACATATAACTTGTAATTATATCGTTAAAACTTTTAAGCTCCATAATTTCCATAACATAGGTTATGCCCCATTATTTAAATTAGAGCTGGTTTGCCCCATATAAAATAGGGGCAATAGCTATTTATTAGGGGTATGCATGCATATATCATATACTACTAGGGGCATGTTCTGAAATTGCATGTTATTAAAAAAAATATTTAATTGCGATATACATATGTAGTATAAAACTTCAAATAATTTAGTAATATTTAGCCGACTATCACTTGACAATGGGTTGGATATTCTGAAGCTTATGCAGAGTTCAAAAATAAAAGTTAATTATTGTACAAATTGGTTCAAACTTTATTGAATTATTTAATATGTTAAGAGCATTTTACCTCTTACATTGTTTATTAACACTTTATTGTAATAGGAGTACAAATAACTCGGGTTACTTAAATTATTGACATCAGCCTTATCGACTCAAGAAGTCCCTTCCTGGCATGCCTAGTAAGCAAATTAATTTGAATATAAAATTGAATTACTAAACTAAAACAAGCTATAATGATTTTAAAATACAAACAATTGCAAAATATACTCTAGTTAAATTTATATTAAAAATTACAGCATAAAATATATTGTCATTTTATTATTAAATTTATCTGGACTACTGAACTCCAGCCTAAAGCGAGGATCCGTGACTAGTCTTACTGTCAAAGGCCCCAGTATCTTTTCTTATAATATATGGAGTCTCGCTGTTGTTCTAAAGGGCCTCGATAGGTCAGCTCGGGCTGTTTGACGACTGTTGCTACCTGAATAGTTTGTCCCACGAAAGGTCGTTGAGCGAGAATCGGACCGTGGCTTGGCTTAGGATCCAAGTCTAAGCGAGGTCTTTCACGTGTCTTTATCCTTTAACGAAACAAAGGTTGAAATGGGTTTAAGCCTCCGACTTCCATCCTTCATCCAATTGGTATGGTGGTCCCTTTTTTTAGCCTAAAGGCCTAGACGGGTGGAGTGAAGAACCTTGCCTCGCCCGGTGAAGGTTTTTTACTCTGATCTGATCTTGTTTTGCGTTTAATTTGTGGTTAGCTATCGTGATTGGATCATCGGGAACCTTTAAGACATACCTTTTTTGATGAGAAGGGGTAATCGTTGATGCTTTTACCCACCAACGGGTTGGGATGGTGTTTAATCTTGTCGAAGTAGACGCCAACTTCATCCATTGGTCTATGATAGAGAGCTCCACGTCGTGGCGGATATCTTCATTCCTCACGTACTGGAGCCCCTGTAGCCGGTGGAAATGAAGGGGGCACAATGCGCGTAGACTACATTATCATAAATCATGCATGGTCGGATACAGGCCTTGTACAGTGTCACCTTGTGTTGAAGTATTGTGGGGCCAGTGGCCGATATATATTCGTAGGAAATACTTCGATGCCGTGTTTCTGGGTGTGACGTCATCAGTGTATTGTTGATGTCGCTGCAAATAAATTGCTAATATTTGAAAACTTTCAGGTGCAACGACCAAATGGAAAGAAATACTTTGTGTATTTTTATGGGACGGCTGAAACGTAAGTGTTAAAATTTTTTAAATTTCAAAGGCCGGCAACGCACTGGCGAGTCTCCTAGCTCACTTCTCCATGGGCGGCGGTATCACTTAAGATCATCAGGTGCGCCTCCTGCCCGTTGGCTCCCTGTTCTATAAATAAAAATGAAATATCCAAAATATGTTGCTATGCTTAAAACTCAAGGCGGCTGGACCAATTCAAGTTTTTTTTTATCCTTGAACTCTGAGGAAGGGTTTTATGGAGAGAAAATGTTTTGCATGAAAAAACCTAAAAACCGCGCTCTATAGGAAAATGCTAATCATAGCTAAATGTTCCATATTTTGGTGTGTACTACAAAGGTAGGCTCAGTAAAGCATATTAAAGCGAAACGAAGTTCGCGGGGGTAGCTAGTAATAATATATTAGTTACATAGGGCAGAGCTGTGGTATCATAGTAGCTTCAGCGTGCGACTCTCATTCCTGAGGTCGTTGAACCCCGGCTGTGCACCAATGGACTTTTAATGCGCATTTAACACTCGCTCGTACGAAGGGAAATATCGTGAGGAAACCTGCTTGCCTTAGACCCCACACGACGGCGTGTGACACATGAGTCTGATCGCCTACTTGCCTATTAGATTGACAATACAAATACAGAAATCTGAGGCCCAGACCTAAAAAGGTTGTAGTATCCATGATTTATTTTATATTTAAATTATTGACATAATGCCATTTCCCATTGCCTTTTTTTTTCAAGTTTTGAAAACTTAAACAATAGGTGAAAGATGTTCCAAGATTCCCTACCGTGTAGCATAAGCCTTGAACCTTATCCCTTAGGTTCGAACCTGTGCATCAATTTTCTATGTTAGTAACAACACCCAATGTCAGGTACAGGCTGGTCACCAAGCAACCAAGCAGAAATCTTTGACAATAACTTTTAAGTTATTGCATAGCTTCTATCTCGGGGCTCGAGCGTGGAGACCGAATCCAGAAATTCCGTAACGAAAAAACCTTACGCGTTAGAGCGGGACAGAACGCATACTGCGTATTCACATCTCTCTGACAAGATCGGTGCAGCCGGTGCGCGTTAGAGTGAGACAGACTATATAGGCGTGTTAGTCTGAGTCCGGTAGAGTGGTAGATTGAATTAATCTATCAAAGAAAAAACTTGAATTAATATCAAAGAAAAAAAAATACTCCATAAATAAATAATTATAATTGCATAAGTTGAAAAAAAAAATATGCATTAGCTTTACCGCGGCAGTCCCCGAGTGCCACACGTTTTAGGCTATGTTCAGATGGCAAAAACTTGACGCGCGTTTTCAAATCGCGCGACTAGAAATTGTGGTATTTTCATACAACTGTTCACATGAGCGCGCGTTAACGCGCGTCAACGCGGCGCTCAGAGAAAAAGTCTCTAGACGCAGGTGATCGCACGTTGACGCGCGCTTTGATATTAATGTAATGTCCATTTGCTGTTCAGATGAGCGCGCGCTTTCATCGCGATCGCATGTAATTTTGTTAATTTTCGTAATTATATTTTGTTCTCGCATTTAAAATGAGTGAAATTGAAGATACTGACATCGACTTACTAATCGATGAAGTAGAAAAAAGGTCAGCAAGTTGGAATATAGCAAATTTGTATAAAAAATATAATATAATTTGTATTTTTTTTCAAAATTGGATGAACCCAATGTGTACGTTTTCTTTTTCTATAAATTTCTTTATAATATAACCACAAAATAATAGCCTCTTCCACGTCCATTTTCTACGTTCTACCGAACTAGACTGACGAGCACTCTCGCAACGCGCGTTAGCGCTCATCATCTGAACGCTCTTCAATTTTGATCGCGCGTTGACGCGCGTTACATGTGAACATAGCCATAAGTTTTCTACTGTACATACAAAAAATCCTTTAAATTAACTAAAATTATTAATAATTGTTAATTAGATAATTTCAATTTCAGAGCTAATCTGCCGCCGAATATGATTTTCGATTACGCCGAGAATAAAGATAAATTTTTGACTAAAACAGTTAAACGGCGAGATTTTAATGATGGCGTTAAACAGATCGAATATGACTTCGCTAATAATGTTCCGGTGGAGCAGGTTGTTGGTTCGTCTTCGGTGAGTATTTTGTTTGGCTTATAATTAAAAAAAAAACACATATTAAGTAATTACGGAGCGTTCAAGTATTACGTAACGAATTTTGGGTGGGGGTCCTTTTATAAAACGTTACGATGCGGGGCGGAGATTGTTTTACGCGTTATTGTTAATATTATTTTCGACTTTGCAGTACTTTACATCACATAATGGTAGCTTTTAGGTATAAAGAGTCACTGGGTGGGGTCACGAAACGTTTTACTATTGGGTACAGAAAAACGTTACGGCGCGTTACATGAGGGGGGGGGGGTCAATAATCTCCAAAAATTGTATGACGTAATTAATACTTGAAAGCTCCCTTAACCAGAGGTCGGTTTTATATAGTCTTTGTCTGACCCTTCGTAACACCTTTTACAAAGAATTTTCTTTGAAATTCAAACTTTTAATATATGATATGCAAATTTTTTTTTCGTTTTACAGAAAGAACCAACGAACAATGAAACTAATGAAGATGACTCGGCCCTTGAGACGACGGCTGATGACACGATGGCGGATGAGGTAAGAAAAAACTCTATAATTTAATTTATTAAAAAATTAGTTAGGAGAAAATAAAAGTAAACATATTTTCCTAACTATGTTTAAAACTTTAAAAAAATAATAATATTGTTAACAAACGAGTGATATATATGTATTAAGTAGTTTCTTATAAAAGGTAAATTTAAGTAACTTAATTTTATTTTTACTAAAAATACTATTAAGTCAGTTTCGTAGTATCAATTTTATATATTATTCGGTCAATAAGGAACATAATGTAGAAATATAAAATAGTACAAATTGCAATAGTTCTGGCCGACACATGGCTACGCGAAAATGCTAATTTTATATGTCTATATATAACGATATGTTCAGAAATGTATATATGTTATAATTGTTTTATATATTTCAAACTCATTCCGGTCGAGCAACGCTCGTCTAAACAGCCCGAGCTGTATGTAGAGGCCCTTAAGGTCAAAAGCGAAATCCCATAAAATATATATGTCGGATTAATATCGTCATGCTTTTCCGAATCCTCAAAAAGAACCTTTTAAACTAGAAAACAATTTAATTATAACAAAACCAATCAAATTAAATAATGAATCTTAAAAGTAATACAAACAAAATCTCAATGATTAGCAAAAGTAGGAATAAAATAACGATCAATCGACTCCATCAGCACATTTCCTGATAATCGAAGCCCTGACATATATGTTCTGTTTCATGAGGTGTAGGTGATCAGCCTTTGCCTGATTGTGTCTAATTACGATCCTTCGTACAACCGAGTGTAAGACAGAAGTCCATTGGTCAAGCGTTGCATGGTAGGACAACTCTGCTCTGTTCTCTTCTTCTGGAAGCATATGGTTGGCTTATTTAGCCAGGACGCACAACCAAATGGGCGTCTAAGTTGAGATGAATTATTATAATTAATTGTCGATTTATTTTCAGTCGACACTTAATATGACACAAAATGACACATTAGCTGACGAATCGGACGTTGGGTTAGCCATTGACGAAGTTAAGGTAATAATATTAATTTTATAGTTATTATATTATATACTTAATGCTTCCTTAGCGTTCTAGATATTGGCGATAATCGTGCAGTAGTTTTTGAGTTTGACTTGTTTTTATAGCTAGCTAGTGTTATCAATCACTTTCCCAGTAGTTAATCACTGCCGAGTAAGTCAAGGGAGAGGTTGGATTATTAATAATTATGATAATCAGATTTAAAAGCAAGATGCCTTTGTAGGGAGAGTATTTGGACCAAAAGTTTTCACGACAATTATAAATAACTGTTCTTATTATGATAGTTAATATGACATTTGCATCTATTATTTTACTAATTGTGTGGTTTTATAATTAATCAATCTGAATGTACCATTTTGCAAATAAATGATTTATGTATTATAGTCAAAAACAGATTAGGGTAAAAAACCGCCTTCACCGGGGAAGGTTGCCTTTACTTCGTACTTCGCTCACTCCAGTGAGCTTCTGTCCTGCCCTTAAGGCTATTGACCACCCCACGACGGCCCAAGCCGAGGTCCGAGTTTCACAGGACGCCCTTGGGCTAGTCGCGGGAAAAACGACCATTCAGGTTGAGCTGAACTGTAAAGGCCCTTCGCCAAGAGCGAGATTCCATTAAAAAAATCTTTGTAGTAATAATTAGTAGAAGTTATCAGTTTTATACAATGTAATATAAGTGTCCCTTTCTTTATAATTTCTAGAAATTAAAAAAAAATGGCGCGTGTACTTATGTACGCGCGTAAAAAGTTATACTTCTTTGGCATTATTAAAAATAGTTTTTGATTGCATGCAAATAATAAATTACAATTAAATAATCAAAAACTAGAAAAGGAGTCATTATAGTCAATAAAGTTCAGTTTACATTTGAAAAATTAAATAAATAAATATTTATTATTATTCTCTTACATTAAGTGTAAATTCTTTTTATTCGAATGTTGTTTTTAAATCATGTCCAATGCCGTAGCATCTTCCGTGGGCAACTTCATTCTGTTAATTTTGTGTCACGGTGCGCGCGCATCGTAAAATTTCACACTCATCAATTTTTCATAACGCGCCTAAAGAAGTAACTTCAAAAAAATATATATTTGAAGTGGTTGGAGCCCCAAATGTTTTATCATTTAAGGAAATATAACTTGTATTTATGAAATTTAATAACATATTTATATTTTCAATATTAAAAAAATAGTATGGTAATGTTTTTTAATTAAATTCTAGACCAAGGGCAAAAAGTCAATTAAAACAGCAAAGGAAACGCCGAAGAAGGAAGTAAAAACACCGAAAGCGAAGAAGAACGAGGAAGAAGAGAAGAAGGACGAGGAAATTGTTAGTAGAAGCGGAAGGAAGATCAAGCCTAAGAGGTAATTTTTTATATTACAGATAACTTAATTAAGGCTAGACATTTTTCTGTATTCAAAGCAATTCTAAACGTACCTACCAACTCTTAAAAGGCCGGTAACGCACTCGCAAGCCCTCTGGAATTTAGAGTATCCATGGGTGGTAGGTATTTCCGAACCGATACGAATTCGGGTCCTTCAGAAAGCGTATCAATTCTAAATAGAACGGCAACGCACTCGCGAGCTCTCTGGAATTTAGAGTATCCATGGGTTGTAGGTATTTCCGAACCGATACGAATTCGGGTGCTTCAAAGAGCGTATCAATTCTTAATAGACCGGCAACGCACTCACGAGCCTTCTGGCATTGTCCATGGGTGCCCCTCTTCTTAAAAAAAAAATATATACATTTATGTTAAAATCATAATAATATTAATGTGTTTTATTATATAATATGTATTAGTTTACTGTACATATCGCACACATTTTTATGTGTGGCTAAATCTACGGTTTTCTAGAAAAGCGGTGCCGTTATCTAACGGCCGTAATGTAACGTTGGGTGACGTCACCCATACGTTGTCTATAAAACGTCAGAGTAGGTTTTCTAGAGAACGCTGAGTGTCACCGTAACGTCAAATAGCGGTGCTGTCATTTCCATGACGGCCGTCATAACAGTAGTTCAACGTTTTGCGCGAGCATATTATATTAATACAATGACTTGGACGAGCGAAAATGATGAACAATTAATTGATTTTGTTAAAAATCATGAAGCTTTGTACAAAATCAAATCCAAAGAGTACAGACCAGCTCAGATGAAGCAAAATTTGTGGAACGTAATTGGAATAACACTTCAAAAATACGGTCGCACTACTTTCTAGGAAACCACAGCTTGGCCACCGTAAAGACGGCCGTTATTAACAACCGCTTTTCTAGGAAACCGTAGATTTAGATTGGATTTTTCGGGAGGCATTAATCATGTTAATGCTAGAGACAAATCCATACATCAAAAGTCGCTGCCGAAATGCGATTTTGAAGTTTTGAATCGTATTTGCGATTGTGGCATACAAATTTAATATACAAGTTGTTACATACGTTAACGTTATTTAAATGTAAATAAATTTTATACCGTGATGATTATTTTCGTTGATGAATTTAATGGCCGAGTTGGGGAGCGTTCAAGTATTACGTAACGCAAATTTTGGAGATTATTGACCCCCCCATCTATCTCACCGTAACGTTTTTCAGTACCCTAGTACAGAACTGTATTCAAGTATAGTAAAACGTTTCGTGACCACCTTGTGTCTCTTTAGTTACTATTATGTGGTGTAAGTCGAAAATAATATTAACAATAACGCGTAATTCAATCCCCGCCCCGCATCGTAACGTTTTACAAAAGGACCCCCCCCCCTTCCCAAAACGCGTTACGTAATACTTGAACGCTCCCTTGGCTTCAAGTCTGAATAAAAGTTTTTTTTTTAAAACACTTCTCATTGCTCAACTATTGTGCACTGGAATGACGTGAAGTAAGCTTGACCGGCTGGTTTTCTATGCAAAAATTCAAAAATCATGTATTAAGACTTTATTTCTCAAAAACACAAAAAATGTCACTTACATGAGAATAATACTTCAGATTAACATAACATTGTTGCAATAAACTTAAAAGTAACCAAAGACATATGAAAAAAGTAATTATAAAAAATTAATTTAAAAGTAATTTTGTCTAACATATTCACTTAGCTTCGATTTGAATGAATTGATAGAAGTAATCTTTTTTTATATTTGTGGGTAGTTTATTATACATATAGGTAACAAAATGTACACTTATGAACGTAAAAAAAAATATATATGAAGACTCTAATTTTACATTTACTGCCAGTTCTCAATTCAAGGGCTTACAACGGAAAAAAAAGAACTGGCAATAAACTCTCCGCCACTCTTTTTAATCGCCAAGTTTTTTGTTCTACACAATGTTTGTAAGGAGCTGCAACCATTACACCGTGTTCCACATGACATCTTAAGTAATTAAAAATAATAAAATAAATTAAAAACAATGATTTGTCCTCTATCAGCTGGAGGCATGATGAAATAGGAACAGATTTTTGAGGCCCAGACCTAATAAAGTTGTAGCGCCATTTATTTATATTTTAATTTTCCACCTCGTGGTATATAATAATACAAAAATGCTATATATATATTTTTTTTCAGATTCATTGACGAACATACAGAGGAGAACACGGCTTTGCAAGCCCCAGCTGCGAAGAAGAAACGCGCGATTTCACCGACTCCGGAAAAGGAGGGGAAGAAAGAGATGTTTAAACACTATCGTGTTACTTTACAGGTATATTTAATTTTATTAAATACTAGCTGGCCTGGCGAACATCGTACCGCCTAACAGTCGATCCTTTATTTTTAAAAAAATACTTATTCTGCTATTCGGGACACCGGTCTAGCTAGTAAGATAAAAAAAAGAAAGTTGATAAGACAACAAATACATTATGTCAAAAATAAAAATTTACCTTCCCGGAACCCCTCCACTTGAACTTTATGGTATGGTTTAAAGTTCAAATTGACTTTTAAGGATTTTTACGAATCTTTTATATGGGAATATAGAAAAGTGTTGTTTTTAGACTTTTCCACTCATGTTTTTAAATTTTTCTTTCCGTAAGAACCATCCTCGTACTTCAAAGAATATTATAAAAAAAGAATTAGCAAAATCGGTTCTGCTGCTCTCGAGATTTGCGCTTAGCAACACATTCGGCGATTCATTTTTAGATTATTACTAAGATTAATAGCACAAGAGAAGAAGCCGGCGAGCTCGCCCATAAATATCATGAGGATATTTCCGGAGTGAAAGTAGAGGCGGTAGACGCCAAACCCACCAGACCTAAGCAAATAAAGTTGCTGTTTAGTTTCTCAGCCACATATCTGCTGATTATGATTACGAGGCTATTAGGAGTGCTATGTATTAAAAAAGAACTACTTAAATCATTAATGAAGATTACCACATCATACATAATACTATATCTACAGTATATGTTTCAAGCTATCTTTTCTAAAATATAAGACAATTTTGGTAAACATAACTGTTACAAGAAATTAAAAAATATATCAAAACAGCGGACTATGTACGAGATAGGCAGTTCTTAATTATCAGAATCCCTTCAGATTTAGCATTTCTATATGTATTATAAAAATAATTGTCTGGGCCTCAGATCTGTTTCATGATCACCTACTTGCCTCACGAAATAATAGACCCAGACCTAAAAGGTTTTTTTTAATAGCTATCTAGATATTTTATTTTATATATAAGAGATTCATTATATGCTGGGACTATTAATTTTTGTAGCGAGTAAAGAAAATAATTTTCTCTTTTCAGTCGGAACTTGAAGATCTTAAAGAACCCTTTAATAGTGGTAAGTTTAAACATTTATTTATTTATAACAAAAAACAATTATACTTAATAAATACATAATATTCAAAAAGGTTCATTTACGAAAGGAAAAACTTCTAATCGGCTATGTTGTATGATTGTTTGATATGTGAAAGTGTTATAATATATTTTTTTAATAAATGACGTTTTGATTATTAGCTGTGGTCGAATTTGACAGCTATTTGGAGTCTAAATATAATTTTAACGCCACCTATTGTCTCACAACAGATTTATTATTATATTTAGACATGTTTTTTTTATTGTGGACGTGTCAAATTCGTATAATCTATAGACAAGAATATTTTATAGTATAACTTTAAAGTTCAAAGTTACATTTATATTTATTATTATTGTCTTTCTCGTTAATAATAATGGCCATAAATCCTGAAACAAAGTAAACAAAAATCCTATTGCAAATAACATTTATTACTTTTACATTGTATTAGTTTAATATATTTAAAATATAAAAAGCTTATTTGAAGTGGTCTCCATTGGCTGAAATACAGTCCTTCAAACGTTTAGACAAGATATCAATAGAAGCACGCACTCTTTCCATGGGAAAACGCTTCACTGCCAATCGTACGGATTGTGTAAGGGACTCCAAATTATCATGGCGTTTAGAGCAAGCCGTACTCTCTAAAACTTACCATAAATCACAATTCAGCTGATTAAGATCGGGATTGCGTAGACCGAGCTTTATGACCCGGCATGCTGGAAGGACCATTCTTGGTTATTGAACATGGTGTTGTTAAGGGGCTTCACTACCGTCTCAAGAATGGTATCTTCATACACTTGTGCCGATGTTTTGATACCTTTTTCATAGAAGTATGGCTCCGTCACTCCTTCATAGCTAATTTGACCACCTTTTTCGTACGAACACTACGTGGACGGCCAGATCTTTTTCTGACACAAAATAGAGGAGGTCTCGTTGTACCTGTTAATAGCCCGGTACACAAACATTTTACTAATACCAAGCGTATGGAGAGTTTTAAAAATTGCATTTGGCTCCATACCTACTATGCGTAATGCAATCACAGCGCTTCGGTACTCTTTATCACCACACTCTATTTTAATATCGCAAAATATTGTACAATATATTGGCGCCAAAATGAGAAACGCAATGAACAATCATATAAAAATGACAGATTCCAAATTCAAATGTAATATTTTTTTAATTTTTAATAGTAACAGTATTTATGACCTTACTAAATATATACTGTAAAATCCGGTTATAACGACGGCCAAGGTATATTACGTACTAAACAAACTAACAAAATTTAGTTTTTATTAAAATAATGAATTTACATGATCATCACAGAACAAAAAACATTTAAATTAAACAGATTATTATTAAACGAAATGTAATTTTATTTTAAATAATAATCAACATACTATCTAATCGGTAATCTATACTAAATAACAACAGTAACTAGCGCAATAACTATTTTTTATTGTTTTTGTTTTTTATTTCTAGTAAGAAGTACGGATTACATTATGCAAACGAAAATACTTTTTATGTTGTTATCTTTAAAATTAGAATATGTTGTATGTATTACCCTAAAATTTTACATTGCCAAAAGACTAGACTTAATGGGCGAAATACCTCAGCGTTGTCCCGAAGTGAAAATGACTATGGAAGAATATTGACAAATGACAATCAAATTTTGAAGTTTGGTCCGTAAGGCGCGAAATCGATAATTCTTTTTCAGTAAAACCGCCCATTCATGAAATAAAAGATTTTTCGTTAATTTAAATTGAATTAGTAGAAAATTTAAGATACTCTTGCCACGAAATGGATAATATTCGCTTGGAATTATTTGAAAATCTTGAAATTGATTCAAATATGTTTAATGGAGGTAATTTTTGTAATTTTGTTTTATTACATACATCAATTAAATATAATGTTTCTTATATTACATATATTTTTAACTTTTCTTTTACATTAAATTAATTTTATGCTTGCTTAACAGTAATAACCTAGGTTCGATTCGTCTAAATAATTTTATCTTTCACTTAAATTATTCCGCAGATTTAAAAAAATATTTTTAGTTTCCTTTCTATTTAAACATAATGACGTTTAAAGTGATATTGTAAATAAATATTTAACTAAATAATAATTCCAGCCTCAAATATATCGAAAGATAATTCGACAATTTCAAACAAATCTAAAGAGATAACAAAAATTACTCAAAGCAAAAAAAAGAAAGGCAAGAAATTTGTGCCTCCAGTTAAAACTGCCCCAGATAATTTTGTAAAAATATGTAATGTAGAGAAAAGCGTATTAAATGATATTAATACGGAATATAATGATTGTATAATTCCCTCCGAGAATGTTAACGAAAGTAATAATAACTTTACATTTGATGGTATTATATTGAAGACATTAAATATCCTCAATGATGAGGACTTCCAGCTGTCAAGTGCAGCAGTTGCCGCGTCGCAAACGTCAGTGGCGTCTGACATTTCGCAAAAGACGTATAGAGAGGAGAAGAGTTTCGAGGATTTGAAAATGGTACGAGGCGTTGTCGATTTTTACCGCCTTTTTAATACGCAATACGACAGTGACAGTGTTTCGACGGGTAATGACAATTTGCCGCAAACTTCAGTGGCCTCTGTCACTTCGCTAAAGACGTATAAAGATATGGACGTGAAGAGTTTCGAGGATTTGAACATGGAACGCGACGTTAACCCCCCTTTTGATGTGACACAATTCGACAGTGACGGTGTTTTGACTCATGACAATTTGCAATTACACAATGACAGTTTGCCATTTGTACCTATGTCTATAAAAGAAGGCGATATAGGTAACGAGAGATACTTCTCTGAGCACGTCGAAGACCAAGTTTCTGATGATACAGAGATCGTTGGGAAAATATTAAAACTGTATCCGGATGAGAATAAATGGTTTAAATTTAATATGAATGAAATATAGAGCTCAATTAGTTAAAATATATAATTTTGTATTGACTACAAATTTTTATTTTTTATTCTATTAAGAGTTCCCTAGACAAGATGGCGTCGCACCAGTCCCTGTGACGTACCATGCATGTAAACACATAAACAAACGTCTAAATTTTAAATAAATAAGTCATCGTTGCCGTAGTCTGTGACTGTTTTGTGTCACGTGACTGACGTATAATAATCAATATTATTCAAGAATAGAATCATTATTTACAAACAAAAAAAAAGCCATGTTTTATACTGTTATTCTCCAACTGTCCTTGCACGACACGGTGCTGTCACGGTTGGAATCTGATTTAGAACCAAATAGGAATCTGCTTCTAGTATAGGTATTACCCTCTGTTTCTGGATACCTATCCAATTAAAATGAGAGCATAATCATCTTAAAGCCCCGCGACACAGCGTTGTAGCACTATTTTTTTCATAAGATGTTTCAAAATGTCCATTTAAATAAATAAAGAGCGTACCAATTTTTAAAAGATCGGCGATGCACTCCCGAGCCTTTTGGCATTGAGAGTGTCCTTTGTCCACTTTACATAAGAAGCCGTTTGCTCCTTTTTCTATTAAAGCAATAATACTAATATTTTTTTTAATTCTATATAAATAACAGCCTTCTATAAAAATTTATCACATAATTCCTTGTTCAGGAACAGGTTGTTTGTGTTGTAAAATTGCTCACCAGCAAGGTGAGCAATTTTAACCACCACATAAAGCACTGTTCACTGATCACACCTCTGGGCGGAAGCTCACCAGTACCAGCTCCTTCCACTTGATTGTATTCAACGAAGAGCAATTCGAATCGTCGTCGACCAGTCACCTTCCGCGCGGCTTGGTGCCTAGTAGTTGCGTAGAGATGTGGGGTCTCTCTGCATCTTCTACCGCATTTACCATGGAGAGTGTTCAAAGGAGTTCTGATAATTACCTGCAACTGAGTTGTCATCATCGGACGTCCGTCGTTCCGCGGAGCGTTATTTAAGGCAGTGGGAACCACCACTATGTGGAACCAGCTGTCCACTGGAGTATTGTATAATTAGAATTAGTATCGTTCAAAGAGCGTACCAATTCTTCACGGTCACAACGCACTCGCGAGTTTTCTGGCATTGAGAGTGTCGATGGGCGGTAGGTATTTCCAAACCAATACGACTTGGAGTCCTTCAAATAGCGTACCAATTCTTAAAAGCACTTCGCCCACAGTTGTTTAAAAAAAATGTCATAAAAGATAGTGTCAAGACTGTGGCAAGAGGTCTGCCTTTTAAAAGGCGTGATGTATAATTTCAGATGAGACAGATAAGGAGAACATATTGATTGCATATCTGCCTTCGGGACAGTATGTTGGTATCAAGCTGTTCCAATCAAGGCCAACCAACTTCAAGGATGAGGCTGCTAGGCTGAAATGGGACAAGCAACAGGCGGCGAATGCTATCACCATGAAACTGCAATTAGGTATGATGAAGCCAAACAGGCTTAAAGATGATTCAATATGTTTAACACTTGTTTGGTGAGGGAAATAGATATTTCGTATGATTTGATTTTTATTATATATAAGAAATATGGGTTTTGTAAAAAATTGTCAATAAGATTGATAGTTGTTTAACGATATTTAAATTTGGTATTTTTTGTTCAATCATATTAAGTTCTTGTCAATAAGATTGATATTTGTTTAAAGATATTTAAATTTGGTTATGTTGTTCTAATACATAATTTTTTTAAATAAATAAATTTCAGAGCATGGCCAGATAACAGCTCAATCTGTGGCTGGACAGCTTATTACGGAGTTACATTTGAACGATGAAGAGAAGGAGCTCTTGGACAAGGAAAACGATCTTGGTAAGAATAAAAAAAGAAACAGCTAGTAGTATTAAATTCGACTTCTCTAATTTTGCCATAAATTTATTACAGGTGGTAAGAAATCCCGACTCCACTTCCTAAAGACGGAAGTGAAAATGATGGAATTGGACGCGAAAATCAAAACTTGTCTGTGTTTAGAGAAGGCAGACACAGAAATGTGTCTGAAGTTGTTGGACGAGCTGTTGGGTGAGTCAAAAAATAATAAGTATTTATTTGAAACACATAAATATACAGTATTTATAATATTCCGATCTTCATAATAATAATAATAATTTATAAAACCTTTAATGCTTAATTTCCTCGCTGTATTGCGATGCTGAGTGAGGAAAGCACCAGCTCTGGCGTCACCGATAGTATCAGGCGCCCACTTAAATCTTTAGTAAACAAAAATATATTTTTCAGTAATGTGGCAGTGTTTTAAAAAAAATAAGGATATTATTAGAGTGGGTTGTTCTCTGTGATCATAAATATTAATTTATGTACAGTAATAAAACAACAGATAAAAATTGTCAGCCTTCAGGTCAGGTCTTAATCATTTCAACCCGTTGATAGAAATATATTTAAAAAATAACAAAAATTGCCAAAATAGCGTTCAAAAATATATTTTTTGATACAAAATTACTATTATCGCTTTTTATCCTAAATATTAACTTATTAAAATAAATAAAAGCATCACTTCAACCCTTCTATGGATCCCAGAACTGGACACCAAGCCTCTCATGCTGCTCAAGCACCCAGTGTGCCTCGAGACCGTGAAGCGCATGCGCGCGTACGTGGGCAACACGGCCTCGTGGGACCTCAGCGAGGCGGAGGCCGTCCTGTTCAGCAAACACGCGCATCGGATACGGAAGCAGGCGGACGTAATCTACAACAGCATGAAGAAACTCTTCTCGCCCCCGGAAGGTCTCTCCTTCTTCGAGTACTTCACCGAAAGAGTGGAGCTCTTCAAACAGATCACCAGCAAACTGTCCCAAGGGGACGTCATGGAGATGGTCCTCGAACCCATAGGTACGTATTCCGTGGAATCAAAATATCATTTATTCATAAACTTGTGAAGGAAGGTGTGCTGTTCCTCCAATCTTTAAGGAGGACCCTCAACCAGTTTGACCACTGACTGTCCCAGGCCTCAGAGGCTAAAGTTTTTTTATGGTATCTGAGGTCTGACAATGGTTCCACTCATTTTCCACGCTTAGACGTCCATTTGGTCCATTGTTAAGTCCTGGTTAATTAAGCCATCCTAGCTCCTTCCAGAAGCTCAGAAGTCGGGCACTTTACAGGCTTCACGGAGCGACCTCACAGTCGTCTACTGGTAGCCACAGGTGCATTCCAGGACCAAGTGGGTGACTGATTTATCTGCACTGAAACAGCCTCTGCATAGTCGTCTGAAAGTTCTATATTAAAGTGACAGTGGCCCGTAATTGTCCCTATCATAATTTTGAGATCAATTCTGATGAGGCTTAGAACTCGCTTTGCCACTAGCGGGCTTACTGCTGGCAGTGCCTTGCCTTGCAAGAAGAGCAACAAAAGAAGCGAATACGGCATCAATCCGTAACCTCCTTGCAAGCTCATCGCCGAGCATCACTGTCTTCTTTTATCGACTCTAGGGTAACCCTGTTTGTCAAGGTTATCGCCTCCAGTGCATTGTGACACTCCAGTGTCAGTTTGTTGTTGGTCTGGCGACTAGCGCAGGGGCGTCTCCTGCGCTAGTCGGACTTGGCTTGGGTCGTCGCGGGGTGGTCGATCGCCTGAACGGCAGGACGGAAGCACACTGGAGTGAGAGGAGTACGTAGTAAAAGCGTTTTAATATATGACGTCATCGCTGTGATTTGGAGCCGTAACATGTAGGTGGCGCTACAACCGCAATGTTAGAAATAATTTAAAAAATTGGTAGTAAAATTATAACTCAAGAATTGGTTCAGCCAGAATCAATTTGTATGGTTTTTGGAATAATGTGTATGATATGCCATTGTATGATAGGCTCACGTATATTGTGTTTGGTTTGAAATTCATTGGCTTTTAGTAGAACGTGGTCAGCCAGTTTATAAATAAAAATTAATTTAATTAAATTATTTCAGAAATGTCACAGCCGACATCTCACACGATGAAGTCAGCCGTTGAATCGGCGAATGACATTTGCAACTCAGTAGACGCTCAGGCGAAGCAGACCGGTGAGTTTTATTTTGGACCATAAATTGAAAATGAGACAAAAGTTGACATTTAATATAAATCATATTTTTTTCAGTAAAAGTCAAGAAGATAGCGAACATCCTGAAAAAGACGCCGATGAAGAAGAATGCAAAGAAGCAAGAACAGAAGCCGCAAGTGGAGAAGAAAAAGGAGGACAATGAATATGCAGCTGAGAAAGAAGAGAAGATTGAGAAGGAAGAGAAGAGTGAGAAGGAAGAGACAATAGCGAAGGAAGAGAGCGCAAAAGTCGAGGAAGAAGAGAACAAAGATCTTGAAAGCATGGAGAAAGAAGACAACAAAGATCTTGAAAGCATGGAGAAAGAAGACACAAATACAGACACATCGAATGACACAATGGAGGCAATTAAAGACATAGATAAGGAGACGGAGAAAGACACGGAAGAGAAAGTGGAGAAGAGAAAATTCAGCATAGAATCGAAATCGAGTTTAGAAGAGAAGGAAGATGAACCCAAAGCTAAGAAAACGAGAGAGGTGAGTTTTTTTAATGATATATGAAATATTCTTTTGATATGAAAAATACATTCTATAATATTCTTTTTATTTCAGAGCAAGAAGACTGATCTACCACCTCTGAAATCTCCTGCGAAAAGAAAATCAAAAGTTTGAAAAATAAATTTCACTGTTGCTCAGAGTCGATCGATGATGTTAAATGTACTTAAGTACACATTTAATCGAGCATATTATAAAGACTTTAATGAACGACTCTGAGTCTAATTAAGTATATAAACTATATAAAGTAGCAATATTATAGTATTGTAATATAATTAAGCGTTCTATTTACGGATCGTTATTGTAGTGGATGGTTGGTTGAAAAACTGATTGGAAATATTCCAATATAATGCCACTACTGTTATACACATAAGTGTCTAATATATTTGCATGAAAATATTCTTATTGAGAATATTCTTTCAAATCACTTTTAAGTGATATTTCTATACATTAGAACATTAAGTACCATAGTACATAAATCATGTAATTGGTGAAGTTATATAAATAAATATATAAAAATTGTGTTTTTTATTCACCGGTTGCTCGCAGTGGCGTAACAATAGGGTGGCAGGGCTGGCAAAATGCCACGGGCCTCCGACCCAAGAGGGCCCCTACCCAAGAGATATTATGTTATATGGATGAATGTGAAGTCTCCAATACGCATTGGGCTAGCGTGGGGACTACAGACCATTCCCTCTCGCCTAAGAGAGGAGGCCTATGGCCATTAGTGGGACATGTACAACGTGTAATTGAGTACGCAGAAAAATCTCTCGATAACTGAGTAGGTACAAAGTGATGATTTTTACTGACCCATCAAAAGATTTGCCACGGGCTCTATTTATCAATTTTAAATTAGTATTAAGAATTTTGTTTATAGTTTGTAGATATAGATGAAATAAGGATTTTGCTTAGTGCCCGTTCTTAATAACAATTTGTGTAATTTTATAGTCACTAAATTATATAAAATGGTTTTTAGTCTTGTCAAATATTCTTACATAGAGGTGGTATTTAAAAAGGTATTTTATTTTACCTTTTAAATATGTAGAAATTTTATATTTAAAATATATATAGCAATATTTTTTTATATTATTTCAAGGGGAATTAAACACACATCAATTAATAACAATATTTAATGAAATAAATTAAAAAGTTTCTTTTACAGACGCTTCCTATTTTCTTGAGGGTATAAATGAATTATTTTCTTGTAACTATCAGCTGCTTCCCCCTTACTGAAAAATTGATTATTAATTTCGGTACATAATTTTTAACTTTTTTCTATTTAAATTTTGAAGGTTGCGTTCGGAAGTCACCACAGATACTGTAGTTTATTTAAACCTGCCTATTTTACCATTCTTTTCCGTTAAACCACCAAGATTTCTTTCCTCTCCATCAAAATTTGTATACGCAGAGATGAAAAAAGAGTAATAAAGGTGGTCATTATAATGTTAGATTATGAGCTAATAAAATAGAGATTTATAAATAGATATTTCGCTTATAATATACTATTCTCAACTATAGACAAATGTTATCTATGGTACCTTATGAAGTATTAATAAACCATTGATTAGTTTTTGATATATATATATTATAGTATATATTTGACATCACTCACTTTCAAGAGAAACGTCATTTGACACTGACATATCGATATCGGATCCGATACCATATCGATCCATTCTCACACTAGGCCGAGAAGATTTATTCGTGTCCATTGAGCATGATGGGTAATGTTGGAATAATTCCAAATAATCATTGCCAGTTGGAATTTGGTGTATTTTAACTGTTTTCGGGGGCGGAAAATATCCTTCCATTATGGTTATTGGATCTAAAATTTATAGCTTTTTTAAATAACTTTATGGTATGGCTGTCATATGTGGCGACCAGTGATGCCAACTCCTACAGAATGTTCAAACCAACTTGAAATACCCCTAAATTTCGGATAAAAACCTAAAGTGGTTTGCCCTAAATAAATGTACGCCCTAAAAAACCCTGGACATCTGGATTCGTGGGTAAACCCCTCTATCATCACTGTCTGAATCCTACCCTAACGTTCATATTCTAATTCGTATATCAAGCCATACGTCTTGAACGCTGTCAATGTGTCAAACGTGACAGCTTCGAACTAGATTCGAATTTGATTGACGGGCCTAATAGTTAGGGAGCTGGTGAGCATTTAGGTATATTAGACCACAAGCCCATGAACAAAAAATACCTGTGAAATGAACCAACGTGAATTACGTTTAGAAGGCTGTTACTATATCTGAAAATAACTCTGAGCACTATGCCGTCATTTCTGAGCGGTACATGTGAGTACGTGAGTGAATGGAATTTCTCAGATACGAAGGAGGAATTTCGACTATTATTAATGTACGGCTTTGTTATAAGTGTATACTTAGATGATTAAAAATAAATGTCGAAAAACCTAGTGCCGTACTAAAGTGATGGTGCCGGAAGTCGGTGCAAATTTTTAATTCGACGATAGTTGCAGAAGCAATATAGGTCATTTATTACTGTACGGCATTTGTGTGATTCCTTTTGGACACATATACAGATACTTTACCCGTAAACGCCGTACATATTTCCAGCGGAGCGGTCGAAAGCGTTGAGTTTCACATCGAGGTAGATTGCAGTTTACGTCGGTACGAATTGATTTGGTCCAGTCAATTAAGGTCCTACGTCGCTGCGTTTTCGCGTTAAACCGGTTGAAGTAGACAGACATTCAGACATTATAAGATTCATATATAGTCGAGACCAGTGATGCCAACTTGGGGGTTCCAACCAAATTTAGAGGGAATCAAGATACCCTGGGTGATTTTTAGGGGGTACTTTATACGAGATTACTTTTTTACGCTAGGTACGATATTTTAATACATATTTGAAATTACCTCTCAAACCGACATACTACATAATCATTTTCTCTAAGAGAAAATTTTTCATATTTACCATTTAAATAATACAATCTCTTCATTTTAGCTTCCTCTTCGGTGATAAACTCAAAATGTAAACCTTCCACGGAATAAGTTTCCTCATTTCTCAAAATGGCTGACAATTCACTTAATGGCAAGTCGTCAAGAGATGTTTCAAAATTCTCTAAAACCCGTTTTTTTGTTTCTTTTAAATTACCCTCAATTTCTGTATTTAATATTGGATTTTTAGGTAACTTTAATTCAATATTTTTTTTGTTGTTATCTAATTTATAATCAGCTTCAGGATCTAATATATTATTAACAATTTCTTGAGTATTTATTTCTAGATTCTCATTTTTAGGTAACTTTAATTCAATATTTTTGTTGTTATCTAATTTATAATCAGCTTCAGGATCTAATATATTATTAACAATTACTTGAGTATTTATTTCTAGATTCTCATTTTTAGGTAAATTTAATTCAATATTTTTGTTGTTATCTAATTTATAATCAGCTTCAGGATCTAATATATTATTAACAATTTCTTGAGTATTTATTTCTAGATTCTCATTTTTAGGTAAATTTAATTCAATATTTTTGTTGTTATCTAATTTATAATCAGCTTCAAGATCTAATATATTATTAACAATTTCTTGAGTATTTATTTCTAGATTCTCATTTTTAAGTAAATTTAATTCAATATTTTTGTTGTTATCTAATTTATAATCTGCTTCAAGATCTATTATATTATTAACACTTTCTTGAGTTTCTGAATCTTGTGATAAGTCTATTATATATGCATTGGAAATTAAAATATCAGGTGTCTTCGGGATATTATTAAGAAATTTAAGATATTCATTAATAAATGAATTATTACAAGTAAATTCATTTCCGTTAATCTTGCCGATCATCTCCATTTCTGAAAATGATGTTTTTAATCGTACCAGTTTTAAAAGGCCGGCAACGCACTCGCGAGCCCCCTGGCATTGAGTGTCCATGGGCGGTAGGTATATCCAAACCAATACGAATTAGAGGGTCTTTCAAAGAGCGTACCAATTCTGAAAAGGCCGGCAACGCACTCGCGAGCTCTCTGGCATTGAATGTCCATGGGCGCTATTACATGACATCAGATGAGCCTCCTGCTCCCTGTTTTATAAAATATCCCCTTTGATCCGTCTTCATTGACGTCCTGGATTCCATTCCTGGCAATTACTTGGAATGTCAGCTATGTAATCTATGCCACTTTTAGTCCCGGGATTCGAACCCCAGACCTTTTGTCCAGAGCAACATGGTAACAACTAGACCAATGAAACTGTCGAGAACAGGGTACACTGTTCTATCAACTCATGATATATGTGCCTTATGTCTATGGCTCAATCACCAGTAATTAAGAGAATTATGTATATGCAATAAAATAAAGAAGTTAAAACACTGGCTGTGTACAATTGTACATATTATGTTTGTGCATACTAAACTATCAAAATAAATGCAAATACTGTCAAGTACTAAATTGGGTTTAATTGTAACTATTCACAATTAAACTATAAAGTTTTAATGAGTCATTATTTGTAAAATAGTTTGAAGTTTTAAGGAAAACCAAAAGATTTTGACATACAGGAGTCATAGTTCGCGCCCTACGTTCTTCTGAATTTTACCTTAAATCTCAAAATATACGTAAATTTGCATAATTTACATAAGCTCTTAAATTATTAATATAATCAATGATGTAAACTAATTAAATAACATATTAACTAAAAGTGAAAGTTTTATGCGAATCCTGGTATTAAATAATTATCTTTCATGACATTAAACATTCAACATCAGTCAATTAGAATTTAAAATTTGGTTATTATAAATACGTATTTGATACCTTCTATGTCATAAATATCCGTCAATATCCTGTTTTGTAACTCACAACTAAGCTAATAAACTTTATAAGATGTTTTCTAATCAAGCTAAATGTGTTAAGTGTTTAAAACTTTACTGTCCATTCATAATACATATAATTTTGCTTAAAGGCGGGAAAGTAATTTTTTTATAAAGGTGGGACGGTGGGGAAGGAAAGGATTTTCGCCCACAGCATATTTTACAAATACGACAATAGAGGAGAAAACTGCCAAATTTTGCCACTAGTAGCGCTGGTTTAGCTTGACGGTTGACCCATAACAAATGCAAACAAATCCCCTACTTTATTATTATAACACAAGATTAAACATTATTTTTCTCCAAAAATACCTCGCTGCGCAGCAATCGGTAGTAATAACAATGGCAATCACAGTTTTTCTAAGGATTTACGCATAAGGTGACTCTGGGAATAAGCTCTAAAAAGACGTAATTTCAAAGCTATAAACTCTTCGAGGTTATGTTCGGAAGCGGAACATTTTATTGAATCCGATTATAAAGGTTTAAGCTCCTGTACAGGTTTGCATAAACTACTTTTAAATTATGATGTATATGGTATACCGTATAGGTACTAAGGTAAGTAAGAAGTACTAATTATTAATTATTATGCATTCATTTTAGGTTTATCTCAAGTTCATAGATATTTGAAAAATACTGCAATCCCAACTGTTTACGCATGGAGGAAACCCACTACCACAGCAAGTATCGTAATAATGTAATTATCGGGTCAGCCAAGTCATTAAAATCATTGGAATGGATCAATTTCTTTTGATGTTAGTTAAATTAAGAAGAAATAAACCTGATTTTGAGATGGCCAAATTTTTTGGCATTAGTACTACTGCTGCTGGGAGTATATTTGTTACATGGGTAAATTTTGTTTATGAATTATGGAAAAAATAGATATTTGGCCTAGTTGCTCACTGGTTGATAATTATATGCTAGATTTATTTAAGCAATATCCTCCAGCTACCAGATTGATAATAGATGGTACAGAAATACCCATATCAAAATCAAAAAACCCTACAGCGCAACAAACAACATTTAGTAGCTATAAACACCACAACACTATAAAATTATTGGTGGGCACTACATCTGGTGGCGTTTGTTCAGTTCATCTCGTATCATTTTGTTCAGATTTGATATGCAGGCTCCACCTGTGACTGTCAAATAACTAAAAGAAGTTCCCTTTTAGCTGTTATTGATGAAAAAGATGCAATAATGGCTGAGCAGCCAATATTGATAAGATGCAATTGTGTTATGCTATGTAATTTTAAAATAGGAATTGTAAAATAAAAGTTCAAAGTAATTAGTGGGTTTTATTGTTTCTTAGTAATTCTTATAAATAAATTTATTAAGTAGGACCTTTTTAAAATATTGCACATAAAATTTGTTCAATACTTTTAACATATGATTGATAAAATTCTTCATCCCTATCCTCATAAAAAAAATTCAATGAATTTTGAAAAATATTCAATGTGATTACTTCGTTTCAAGATCTGCCTTTCTTCCTTTTAAAGAACCGCCCCAGGTCTTCAATTCTACTTTTAATTATGGAACAGTCCATGTCGAATACATTATTTAGCAGTTTTCACTTGTAAGATTTACGTAAAAATTGCTGTGTATTGTTATGGGTCAAGAGATGACAGTGACATTTGCAATTAGCTTTTTCTCCTCCATTAGAAATAAAAACATTTTCTTGTTTATTAAAACAGTTTTGCCATAAAGATGTATGAAAACTTAATAGATAATATTAAGATTTGTGATTAGGTAGTAAAAAGTTTGCTAGGTTCACAGGACCATGAATAACAATACTATTGCAAGATAGTATAGTAACTGAATGTACTTGTAATAATTCGCATGGATATATCAATTTCTATTACTATTTAGTAACACTTTTGAGTATTGCTGGAGTATATTAATTATTGATACTTACATACTAAAATAAAAGGCAAATATTTTTTAACAATGTATTTTCTGGCAATTAAATGCATGTAGCGAAATAACACTTAAGCCTTATGGAAGTGTATTGGTCTCATTAATTCGTAGTTACAAGAAATCATTGACTAATGTCAATCATGTCAAGTTTAAGTTTAACATTTTAGTACCACAGAGTAAAGAAAGTTAAAATAATATTTATATAACAGATAATTGACGATTCGTCACTTTTTACCAGATTTCTTTATACCTCCTTGAGTTAACGGGCCTTTTTGTGTTGCTTTCGCTTTTGCATCCTGAAACATAATAAAATAATGTACAGTGTACAGTAGGCATTGTGTTTTGACAGTTTACTTATTATTACAATACATAATTTATTTATTGTAAAATAAAAACTACAAACAATATTTGTTTAATATTTACTTAAATACTCATAAAACTGGCATTGCATTATACATTTTCACTTTATTTTGTCAAACTCTATTGTATCATGGTGTGGTCAAACTATTGTAATGAATTTTCAAATATCAGTAGGTAACTGCAGTTATTATGTGATTGGTTACTTATTAGATTATTTTACATAGCTATTTTGCAAGTATCAAAAACTAATTTAATATTAGGTCAGCAATCTGTTTTTTACTCTTCTATAAGCAAGTAGGTCATCAGACTTCTGTGCCTAAAATTAACATACAGAATAGTGCATATGTATGTATATACATTCATATACACTATTCAAATTATAAAACTATATTTTCTAATATTACAACTTTATAATCAAAAAATTATATTAGTTTATCGATATTAATATACATTGGTTCAACATATGAATTTAATTTGTTTCATAACCTTGCCAAATGTCATATTGGTTGTAACTCAAAGCAATTTACTCATTTGAAATTTCATAAATCCTTTCCAGCACCCAAATCACCACCTCAGTTGTTTTTGAATAAGAAAATAATTTCAATCTTAAAATATTGATTCATGGTTATAAAAAAAACATGATAATGTTTTGACAGAGGTCTAGTCTGAGGTGGGAGAAACCTCTAATCAAAAATTTTATAGCAAAATACTGCTTGTTTTGCTGCTCGTATCCCAAAACACTTTTATATTAGGACACCCACATATCAAGGTATAACAAATGTACATGTACAAAATCAGGATAATATTTCCGAAGATACTTTCTTTAAAAGAAACATAAATGTATTCTTTTATTAACAGAACATTCTGAAGTATTATTCAGCAGTAGAGTATCTTGCAATATGATTAGAGATATAATTTTTTGAAATCTATATAATCGGATCAATTTTATACCTGTAAAGCTTTTTGTTGCTCCTTAAGTTTTTGTTTTAGAGCTACATCATCGTCATCTAACTCCTTTGAGGATTTTTTTGGTGCCTTCAGAGGCTTCTTCTTACCACCTTCTCGGCCAGACATCTGAAAGAAGTTAAGTGCTGAGTTGTTTCAGACCATGCTATTACAGTCTTAACTGAGCTGTTCTTTAAAAATAAAGAAAAATCAGTACTACAAACATAGACAACCTCATGTTCAAGGATAGCCTCACTTAACATTTTATAGGCAATATGTGTATGTAACAATTGTCAGAAATGTGAACTCTATTCTACATAAATCTTGGTTTTAATCATGGCAATCCTTTTATTTAGCTTATATAAGACTAAACGTAAGGTAAAAGACGAATTGTGTGATTAAGGTTTTAGCTTTTTGTCTTTAAATAGCTCTAAGGTTATAAAGATTTCATCACTATTTACTATTGCATTTAGCTTTAAACGACGTATTATACTTAAAATACGCCGGTCTGAATAAATGCGAGCATTTTTAATTAGTTGTACAAACAGTTACTGTATCATAGGTTATGAGTAATAATTATTGAAAAAGCTTAGTGTTATACAAACAAAAATACGTACATACTAATAATAAGGTACTTACTTTGATAATAAACTTTGATAAACTAGTAAAAACTTAATTAAAATTTATTAACAATTAATCCCACGAAGACGAAAACTTGCTTTAAAATTTTTAACCTATGTAAATGACAGAGGCAAGTGGCAACTGACAGTAGTAA